CACTGGATATCTTTTAAAATCAAACATACACTAACCTGTTCAGGATTTGTGAAACAGAATTCTGACTAGAGCTATTTAAGAGCTTTCCAGATATAATGCTGACTCTCATCTTCATGAAGATATTAGAGAGATGTAGGTGCTCCAAGATGCTTCCTGAAGAACTCTTCCCTAATTTATCCAGTCACAAGTATTTTTTAAGTTTCACATTCTTTCAGCACTCAAAAATCAGTTTCCATTGCAATGTTTGTTAATTCTTTCTTCAAATATATTAAGTGCTTGTAATGTGCATGAAAGGCAGTAGGGCATACAGGTTAGAATCAATGCCTTGACTTCAAATAGATGATGATTCAGCTCAGCCACATAGAGCTTTGTAACTTTGGCTAAGTTGCTTCACTTCTCTAAACTTTGTTTTATTCATCTGTAAAGTGAGGTAATAATGTGTATTCCTATATACAGTATCTTTTAATTATTATTTTAAAGATTAAATGAAATAAGGAATTTAAAGCTCTTAGCTCTTGAGTCAAGAGCTAAGGTAAATGCTCATATTATCTATTAATACTTCCACTACTACGACTACTACCTTATACTTGGTTTACTGAAGAGGAAACCAAAGATATAGAATGACCCTGGAGGTGCCAACCCTATAGAATCTCCTTGTCTTAAAGGAGAACATATCATACACCAATGAGATGTTAAGTGACCAAATGAGTATGCTATATAAGTCTTTAAAATCCAGGAACATGAGACGCACAGATGGCAGCACAGTATAGTGGTTAATATTGTAAACAATGCTGGAATCAATTGCTTCTGTTTATTTTTTTAAAGGATTTAATTTATTTACTCATGAGAGACATAGAGAGAGAGGCAGAGACACAGGAAGAGGGAGAAGCAGGCTCCATGCAGGGAGCTGGATGTGGGACTCGATCCTGGGACTCCAAGTTCTTGCCCTGAGCCTAAGGCAGACGCTTAACCTCTGAGCCACCCAGGTGTCCTAATTGCTTCTGTTTAATTGCTGGTTCTATTATTGACCAGATGTGTCACCGAAGTCTGATTATTTATGCTTTCTGTCCTTCAGTTTGTTTAAGTGTAAAATGAAATAAGAGTACATCCCACATAGGGTCATTGAGAAGATTAAATGAATGAATACTTAAATGAAGAAATAAAGAAAGCATTTTGACAGTGCCTGGCACAAAGTATTTAGTAAATGTTAGTGGCCATTACATACTTCTTTGTATCCAGCTCAAGACTTAGCATAGTGATGTGCCAAAGATATTTGTTGGTTTGCTGGAGGTAATGGTATAAATACCAGACCATAGCCCTGTAACTATAATGCCATTAATTTATAATTGAAGTGGAAGGAGTCACTGTGGGCTACAGAAGTAAAATGGGTGCTCCTGCAGACAATCTCTTCCATTTTCTCACTAAGAAAAAGGAAAAAAAACTTCGATGGTTTAAGGAGAGAAGAGAGGACATATGAATAGCAGCTATAAAGCGGTACATAACGTAGTATGATATGTTAAATGTGGCCCATTATATGGGGTATCCCTGCCTCTAGTAGAGTAGCTTAAACTTGACTCAAACCCCCAACTTCTTGACTAAGTCCAGTGGTGGTCTCCAAGCATTCTGGAACTCCAAGTACCTTTATTCAGTGTTATTCAAACTGTAGCCATTGATATGTGTTAATCACTGTTCCTTGAGGAAACAAAAGGATGTGGGTTTTCCATGGTTAAATAAGTTGAGGAAACATTGATGAAGTTTAACAGATTACTCAGAGGTTCTTTTAACGTATATACAGCATTTCTCCAATGTATTTGACCATGGAACTCTTTTCTCACAGAAAACCTATCAATATCTTCTATTGCACATAAAGAAGTTGGAGATATGCTGCCTTAATTGGAAGGCAAAATAACAGGTAATATGGAAGATATTTACATATTCGAAAAAAGGAAGAATTAATGTTTTGAATACCTATGAAATGCCAGAAATGTAAATAACCAGTTATATAATTCTTGCATTATATTGTATCTGCATTATATTTTATCACCAAGATTTTATGGATGAAGATTTTAAAACTCAAAAATTAAAACTAAGTCACACAGCTAGTAAGTAAAGGAGGTAGCTCCTTCCACTGATTAAAGTACCTAGCATCTGGGTACTTTGAGCACCTAGAATTGCATGCTGGGTGAAAGGAAGGCTGACAAATAAAAGAAAGATTACTCCAGGGTATGTATGCACACCTTTCACTTTGTCATCATTTCACTCCCCAAGTATGTTAACCAAAATCCACTTAGAGTAAGACAGAAAAAGTAGTAAGCCTTAATAATACAAGACGTTCAGAGTAAATGCAAATTGCTCTAAGAAAAAGCACCAGATGCCACAGAAAATATCGATTATGTTCCTTTCACATTTTAGGACAAAAATTCCTTTAACCTTCACTGAAAAGATTTCACAGCAGGTCCAGTGAGGTACACGAATAGTGAGTCTTTATTTCAATGGTCCTGGTTTCCTTTGAATATGGAACCAGTAAAATTAAGACAGACACAGTTTTTAAACTATATGGGTTAAGAAAGGTATAGGATTCTGGAATCCACATTGAAAATTTTTTCCATACGTATCCTAGTATATATATTCTATACATATGCGTAATCAGTATTGTTGTTCACTGAATATCATCTAACTATGCCCCCCAGATGCAACCCAACAAGTTATTTTTATAAATTGGATATATTCGTACATTATATTTTTATAAATTGGATACAGTTTCCTTATTGGATCAAAAGGACTGACACAGATGAATGATTTCCTCAAAGACCATCACACTATCTTTCTGAAATAAGCCCAAAGACTTTAGTGACCCTGAGCTGCAGATTTCCTCCCCTCAGAAAACCTAAAAGCTCAAAGGTATAGAGCCAAGAGCCATGAGATTGCTGGGTTCTGGCCACCCTGGCAATACCCAGGGATACCGGGGTCAGACAACCTTATTTCTCATGAGGAGTACTAGGAATATAATTTGTGACTTAAAAGGAAGCTCATCTCTTCGAGTCGGTGACTATTACCCATTGCTTGGAGGATTTTCCAGAAAGTTGGCCTGGAAACCTCTGACTCATTGCCATCTCTGAACTTGTTAAAAAAAATCTTTTGCCTCCTAGGTTATCTTAGAGAAAAGGGGCCAGATTTGCCTGCAGATTTGAGAGCATTTCCCCACAACAACCGTATCAGCAGGTAAGGCAGGTACTTCTACTGCCATATCTAAGCTGTGTAAACTGAGGCTCACACAGCCACAGTGAAGCAAGACTCCAGGGACGAAGTCCAGCACGCCTAATGTGACAACCTTGGCAATGGACACGCATCATAAACTGGAGGGCAAAGTTGGAATCATCACGGAGAACTGCACCTCGGAAAACCTTCTGGTTTCTTTGCCTACATTTCATATATATTTTTTTTTTTCTGAGACAATCACACTTATACCACAGTTGCAAAAACATTTTCTTTTTTTTATTTTTATAAATTTATTTTTTATTGGTGTTCAATTTGCCAACATATAGAATAACACCCAGTGCTCATCCCATCAAGTGCCCCCCTCAGTGCCCGTCACCCAGTTACCCCCACCCCCCGCCCTCCTCCCCTTCCACCACCCCCAGTTCATTTCCCAGAGTTTCCCTTCTTCATGTTCTGTCTCCCTTTCTGATATTTCCCACACATTTTCTCTCCTTTCCCCTTTATTCCCTTTCACTATTTTTTATATTCCCCAAATGAATGAGACCACATAATGTTTGTCCTTCTTCGATTGACTTATTTCACTCAACATTAATTTTCTAATCAAAAAAGTCATGGGCGTATATAAAGCGTTTTGTCCCCCCTTGGTTAAATGAATTGAAAACAGCTCCCCCTCGCTGTCGTTCGAAAAACACCTTCACCCAAGTTCAGGACGCGGAGCTCGAGCCGAGGGATTCCCGCGGGGCGCGGGGCGCGGGGCGCGGGCGCTGCACCTGCCGCGGGCTGTCGCCGTCTACCTGCTAGTTAACAGGTAACATGTCGCTTCCCGCAAAGCGCGGGGGCTGCATCCTTCTCCGCCCTGGCTCCCGTGCCCTGCACCGCGCCGGCCGGGCCGCATCAGGCCGCCGCTCCCCGTCCATCCAAGGGGAGGTCCCCACGACCCAGCAGTGACCAGACCAAGTCCCCACGGCCCGCGGTGGCCCCCTTTGCGCCCATCCCCTGTGGGATCGGGCTTTGTCCGGAGGAGGTCCCAGGAATGCAGTTCAGGGAAGCTCTCTAGGCACCCCGCGCACCCCCAGGGAGCCAGGAGAGCTTCAACCTGCAGTGGAGACGCGCACCGCAGCCCCCCACCCCCCCACCCCGGGGGGGCCGCTTCGAGACCTGCGCGCGCCTTCAGGGCCTCAGACGTGGGCTGGAGGTAACAAAGAGCAGGGTGACCTTTAAGTCACCGCGTTGTTACCCTGCAGGGGGGCAGGGGTGGGGAGATGGGGACCCGAGGGGGAGGGGGCGCTGGCTAGCTGCAGGGGTGCAAACCGCAGCGGGAGGAGGCGGGGGTCGCGCTCCAGGTTCCCACGCAAGGGCGCGCGCCCCGGGGGCGGCCTCGGGGTTGCAGGGGACCGCCCCCGCTGCTGCGTCTGCTGGGATGACCACCGGGCTTAGGTGGCTGTGGCCGCGGCCCCGGGGGAAACAGCGCCAAGGCACGGCCAGCTCTCCGAGTCCCGGCGAGAGGAGCGCGGGAAGGCGCCGGCACCCCGCCCCCCGCCCCCCAGCCCCACCCCCGCGGCGGTGATGCACGGAGGACAAATCACCGACGTCGAGAGGCCGGGGGAGGAGGGGGGGACAAAAAGAGGGAGGAAGAAAGCCCCCAGGAGCGGGGAGGGGAACGGGAGACGGCGGGCACCGAGCAGCCTCCGGCCGCTGGGGCGCTGGAGGGGGAGCGCTTTCCGGGGAAACCGAGGCCGCGAGCACCGAGGGTTCGCAGCGCGCCTCCCCCGCGTCCTCCGAGTCGAGGGGAAGCCCGGCGCGGAACGGGGCCTCCAGGCGCCCGAGCGCAGCCCCGCGGGCGCTGGGACAGGCGACCGGGCAGGGCGCGCAGGGAGCGCAGAGCGCAGCGGCCTCCGCCCGGCCGAGCGAGCGCTGCAGCCGCGGCATGCGCATCCCCGGGGGCCCCGGCGCCCCGTCCGCCGGCAACTCCAGCCGCTGGTGGCCCGCGTCCGGCCGCGGCGCCAACGGGAGCGGGGACGCGGGGGCGCTGGCGGACGGCGGCGGGCCCCCGAGGGACGCGCGCAACGAGGAGCTGGCCAAGCTGGAGATCGCCGTGCTGGCCGTGACCTTCGTGGTGGCCGTGCTGGGAAACAGCAGCGTGCTGGTGGCGCTGCACCGCACGCCCCGCAAGACGTCCCGCATGCACCTGTTCATCCGCCACCTGAGCCTGGCCGACCTGGCCGTCGCCTTCTTCCAGGTGCTGCCGCAGATGTGCTGGGACATCACCTACCGCTTCCGCGGGCCCGACGGCCTGTGCCGCGTGGTGAAGCACCTACAGGTGTTCGGCATGTTCGTGTCGCCCTACATGCTGGTGGTCATGACCGCCGACCGCTACATCGCCGTGTGCCACCCGCTGAAGACGCTGCAGCAGCCCACGCGCCGCTCGCGCCTCATGATCGCCGCCGCCTGGGTGCTGAGCTTGGTGCTCAGCACGCCGCAGTACTTGGTCTTCTCCATGGTGGAGGTGAACAACGTCACCAAGGCCAACGACTGCTGGGCCACCTTCATCCAGCCGTGGGGGCCCCGCGCCTACGTGACCTGGATGACGGCTGGCATCTTCGTGGCGCCCGTGGTGCTCCTGGCCACCTGCTACGGCTGCATCTGCTCGCACATCTGGCGCAGCGTCCGCGGCAGGACGGCCCTGCGCGCGGGGGCGGCGGCGGGCGCGGGCCCGAGGGGCCTCCTGCGGGCGCCCGGGGCCAGCAGCGTGAAGACCATTTCCCGCGCCAAGATGCGCACCGTGAAGATGACTTTCGTGATCGTGACCGTGTACGTCGTTTGCTGGGCGCCCTTCTTCATCCTCCAGATGTGGTCCGTCTGGGACGACGGGTTTGTTTGGATAGGTAGGTGCAGGGGGGCTGGGGGGGCGGGAGGAGAGCGCAGGACTGCGGCTCTTGGGGGCGTCCCCGGGGCCCTCGCGGCTAAACGTCCCCGGGGGACGCCTTGGGCGAGATGAACCCAAAACGCAGTTTCTGGGCGTCTCCACCCGCGGACGTTTGGATTCAGCAGATCCAGAACCAGGCCCAGGAATCAGCTTTTGCAGCTTGCAAGGATCCCAAGACGAATCCAGAAACTGCGCCCTAGGGTCAGCCTGGCGACCGCAAAGGTGCCCGGTGACTTCTTGCCGCATCTCTAACCGCTGCGCGCTCACACCCTGCGGTCAAGTCTACCGGATACACTGTAGCAACTACTTTCTGCTAGTTTGTTAAAAGTATCACAATCAATACAAAAATTTTGTAGAAATGCGCCCCCAAAGGACAAGGATAAACGGACCCATTTTCCTGAAGATTCTTAAGAAGTCAATAATTCTAATTTAGTATTTACTAGGTTTACTAGGTTCCATTTCTTATAATCTTTTCCTTTTTTTTTTTTTTCTAAAAATTACTGCAAGATTTTTTTTTCCTGGTATTTTAAAGCAGGACTATTGCCAGATTTTTTTTTCTGGTATTTTAAAGCAGGATTATTGATAAACTCTAAGTTGGATAAACTAATTAATTTGTCTTTCAGCACTAACTTAACCATACAGCTACAGCCTCCGCACTCAACTCTTGCAGTAGCGTGTGGAGAATGTCCTCTATACCGACTAGTTTGTTTGATTTTAACTCCTCCACAAACTGAATTAACGAACTTCACAAGAAACCTCCCCCCCCAAAAAAAATAAAACATTTAATACTGAGTCTTGAAAAAGGTATTTCCTTTTAGTAAGAAAAAAAAACTTTTCAAATAAAATATATTATAGGAATGTTACCACAGCAGCTATAGCTGGGAAATAGGTATCTGGAAAGAACTGTCTCCTTTCGTTGTTTGGGATTGGAGTAGGGGGTATAGGTGATATACTTTGGAAGTTACATTTGCAAATAAAACATTTGAAAGTGAAACTATTTCAAACAAATAAAAATACTCAAATGGCTATAATATTACTGAAAATAAAGAATACAACATAAATGATATGCTTTTGGTTTACCATTTCCTGTCTTGCTTGATCTTAGCCTCTTAATTATTACCAATCAAATAAAAAAACTCAGTCTAATTATTCCTTTATAAGGATTTAGATATAATTTCTAAAAACTTCTCTACTTGTGCCTAAGTATGCTGATGAGTTTCATTCTTTTTGAATACAGCCTTAGCCATGGACCATGATCACCATTAATAGTAGCATGTTAGCACAGAGTATGATGAAATAACCTGCAACTTATTCCAGCATAGCAAGAGTGAGAAGATTCTAGTTTATATTTAATAATCATGTAAAAGTTAGCACTTGCTGATTATTCTTATCTTTAGAAAAAGTATATTATCAGGGTTATAGTTCTATAAAAGCTTATAATATTGACACAGTTTACCAGTGCAAACCAGCATAAAATATTTCAAAAACTTGTTGGAATTTCCTAATTCAGCTGTTCTTAATATAATTTAATTGTCCAAACCACAAAATTGATTTTCTTTTAAAATCAAAAGGAGCCACAGAAAATTAACCAAAAAAGACAAAACCCAACTCCACTAACAAATAATGCATCCTTCGGGGACCTATTACTATGACCCTCTCATGTATAGTTTTATTACAGAATATGTTTAATAGTAAAAAATCTAAAACCGCTAAACATGGTCCATATTGTCATACTTTTGTCTTAGTTGTTAGGATGAATAGACAGTTTTGTATATGTGCCTATAGACTTTTGGAATTTCATTGAAATTGCAGCCATTCTGTAAGCACTGTGGCCGTTAGTACATACTAGTGCTAGTAGAAAGAATACAAAAATCCTAAAAATAAATTATCTGATATTCTTAACTTTTTGAAAGTCCCATTCATTCCGCTGAAATATTTTTAAGTGGCTTAAGATATTTGAATTGATGTCAATGCATCTTGCTTATGAAAATATTTGACAGCCAAGCAATTTCCGTACATTGGTAAACAATATACTTCATTTTCTATATCAACCCATAACCCTTTTTTTTGCCCCTTTTAAGAATCCATAGAAAAATGAGTTTATCCGGTGCACATTTCCTTGCTTGTGACTGTTTAAATAATCTCCGCTTATGTTTTTCGTACAGAATCAGAAAACCCAGCCATCACCATCACGGCATTACTGGCTTCCCTGAACAGTTGCTGCAATCCCTGGATCTACATGTTTTTCAGTGGCCATCTCCTGCAAGACTGTGTGCAGAGCTTCCCATGCTGCCAAAACATGAAGCAAACATTCAACAAAGTAGATTCTGACAGTGTGAGCAGAAGACAGACTTCCTATACTAACAACCGAAGCCCGACAAACAGTATGGGCACATGGAAGGACTCCCCTAAAACTTCCAAGTCCATCAAATTCATTCCTGTTTCAACCTGAACCCACATTCACACAGCCCGCCTCTTGTAAAGAAAGGACTTTGGGGTCCACTGGCTGAATCCAGCTAGAAATCATGAGAAGAAATGAACTTATAGGTGATAAGTGTAAAGTGATTTGGTGAGGACAAAGACTGTATTTCTCCTTGCATTTTCACATTGTCTGGACCAAAAGTTATGAAATGTTTTATATGTGATGTTAATAAAACAAACAAACCTGCCACACTAAAGTTTGCAGGCTGAATTCCCAGAAATATAATAGAAGTTATATTTCTAAAGGAAAAATCATCACCACCCTGGCTTTACATTCTGTTGTTGGTTTCCTTTCGTTTCTTTTATTATGGACATAACTAAGGCCTGATTGGTTTAGAAGTCATACGGTGTAGGGGCCTTTTTTTCTGAACAAAGTGAGCTCATCGGCAGTCTTAGTGTTTGAAAGGAATTAGAAGACATTTCAGAGAAATTGTTTTCATCCAGTAAGAGTCAGTTTCTGCATCTGAAAATGCAGCCTCACACAGTGTCCTGGAGATGGGAAGGTGCCTTGCACAGGCATGAGTACTTGGGGCATACGGAGCAGGGATGCCTGGTTCACAGCAGCAAGAGGAAAGTTCTGTTCAATGCTGTAAATCACCTCAATTTCTAAATGGTAACTTTAGAACTGGTGGTTCCCTCATGTTTTACCAGTTGTAGAAAGCACAATTATTATGATGCTGAAGGTTAGAGAAAATACGGTCAAATGGCCAACAAAACCACTGTTCTCCCACCGCAAGGCCATTTGAAAGTCAGATTTGTACAGGGAAAGTCAGATTTGTACAAGGAATATTCGATTTTATTAGAAGAGGAGAAATGGATTATCCAAGGTACTATGTAGACTTTCTCTAGAACACTGTAAACATGTTTTGACTAGTGTTATAAACTATCCTGTGTCACGCTGGTTCATGTGTGGGGTGTCCAGATTTATAAATAAAAGAGTTTCTAAAGAGTGACTCCAGATTGAGGCACTTGGGTGCCTCAGTTGGTTAAAGGTCTGACTCTTGGTTTCAGCTCGGGTCATGACCTCGGGGTCCTGAGATTGAGCCCTGCGTGGGGCTCCTTGCTCAGCATAGAGTCTGCTTGTCCCTCTCCCTCTGCTCTGCTCTCTTGAATAAACAAATAATCTTTTTTAAAAAAGTGACAGGATATAGAATGCCCTCTCATTCTTAATTAAAAATAATTTAGTCCTTCTTTCTGTCTCCTATCCATTTAACAGTTACATAGCAGCCAGAGGCATGGTTGGGTAGGAGGAGGGTAGGATATTGGGGGGGGAAAAACTATTGGGCACTAATATGGTTTTTTGCTACTAATGCATGACTTTGGCAAATTACTTAAAGACAAAAATAAAATAAAATTTAAAAAAATTTACTTAAAGACACATAAAGCCTTCATTTCTTTGGCTGTACAATGAGGTTGATAACTCCTCACAGGATTGTTGTGAGAACCAGATGAAGTCAAGGGTGTGAAAAAATCTTCATGAACTGTCGAGTGCTCTACGAATGTACCAGTTACTTTTATTATAGTCTTAATAAAAGTATAGACTTTATTATAGTCTTCAGAATCGCACAGCTTTTTCCTGTTTACTTTCTATTAACCAGAATTTGTTGGTTTCATGTCTGGGATACAGAATCCTAAAATTTAAATATAGCTCTGCTGATTCATTGGAAAGCGTTGCCAGCGGCCATGAAGCCGGCCTCCTGCCTAACCACAATTTTCCAATTTAAAGATAGAACTTGCTTTCCTTTAAATGCAGGTAAATCAGAGCCAGCCGAGAGTATCAATTTCTTTTATTTCTAAACAGAGATAAATTACAGCACTACTTGGCTGTTCTGACTGCATTTTTCATTAATGGAACCCAAAGGTTTTTTTTTTTTTTTTCTGAGCTATGCTCTCTGGTCCTTCTCCTTCTTAGAGATCATGCAATGATTTGAGGATACATCATGAACGTTTTGCATCCCTTCGAGGAAGCAATAGTTATTTTAACAGCATTACTGTAGTTTTGTTTTGTTTTGTTTTGTTTTACTGTGTAGATAAGAAGCTGAGGACTGGATGGCACTGTGAGAACCTAGGAGCTTCAATTTCACTCCTCTTCATTCCTTTGCCTTTCCAAATTCTCAGGCTCCGCTATTCCCTGGATTGACATGCCTAAAAAAAGTTTGCGAATGTTTTATAGAAATTAGGCCCGTAGGTTTTAGAATTCTGCTTTTTAAAAATAGCAAATATGTCTCTTAAAGGGCACCAGTCAAATTAATCAGTTCTTCATTATTTGGGTCATAGCAGCATCTCAGTAACCCTGCCCTTGTGCCTCTGTCAGCCCTTGTGGCAACTTGTCCTCAACACTTCAAAACTAAAGCCCTTTCAGTTGGTACAAAGGTGAGCCCATCTAGTTCCAAAATAATAACCTGTGGTTTTTGTACAGAGTGTTTCAAAATGTTGACACATACATTCAGGTAGAAGTATTCAGTTTGAATCTTATTTGTAGGAACATCTCTCAAATAAGGTGCATATCCACCTACCCAGCTGTGTTCTCTCCTTTTAAGTGCATCAGGAGGCAAGATAATACTAAAGGGTAGGGGGAAACCCCAAAAGATCCAAGTGCTATTTCTGCACTAGGCAAATAGATGGTCTTATTCTCTGTGATTTAGGCTGAGAATCTTAACCTAGCTAGGTGCTAAACGTCCTTAATGTTACATACCTGGAATGGCATTTATATGTCCCAACACAATATTCCAAATTGGAAGAGTCCTGTGTATTTCAGAAGAAAGGAAACTTTAGATGGCTGGGAAGGAAAGATTCCTCTTTCTTGAGAGAGGAGAAGATCTGAGATATTATGCCCAGTGAAGGCTTGCAATCAAGGATAAATGTGTTATGTCACCTAATTTTATTTTGCAGAATAATCTGCGGGAACACTCTGCAAATATACAATATTACTGCATCTGTGTGTGGGTATGGGGGATGTAATTAATAAGCAATTCACTGGTAGGGAGAAACTGGTGGTGGTGTCTATTGGGCATTTGAGAACCAATAATTGTTGATGAAAAAGGAACATTTAAAAATATGTATTAAGTGATTGATTTGGGTTAATTTGGGACAGGATTTTTAAAGTGTAAAAGTAATTGTGAAGGAAATCAGTGAAATTCTTTGGTTAAATATATACTCGCTCTACATACAGAATTTCTATCATCATCAAAGGAGTCTTACATCATAAATAAGGGAAGGGTGCGGTTTTTAAAGGGAGGAAAAAAGTCAAATAGACTTAATAAGATCCAGTATCCTCCTACACTTACTACAGTTCTTAGAATGGACAACAAACACAACTTTAATCTATTATCTAATTAATCAAATTAAGTTTAAGTTTTCCAGACTCAAAAACCTGCATTTTTGCAATGCAATTTGATACTTGAAGCTTTAAATTATAGCTTCAGAGTTTGATTTTACCACTAAGGCATAATTAGAGCCATCTAGGAAGCAATTGAGTCTAATCTTTCACTCCAAATATCAGATTAGAAAAAAAAACACAAATATCAGATTAGACTCCTTTAAAACTGATGTAATGGGAATCCCTGGGTGGTTCAGCAGTTTAGTGCCTGCCTTCCGCCCAAGGCGTGATCCTGGAGACTGAGGATAGAGTCCCATGTCGGGCTCCGTGCATGGAGCCTACTTCTCCCTCTGCCTGTGTCTGTGCCTCTCTCTCTCTCTCTCTCTCTCTCTCTCTCTCTCTCTCTCATGAATAAGTAAATAAAATCTTTAAAATAAAATAAAATAAAACTGACGTAATCTGGGCCCTTATGGATTTTCACACTGGAAGCTACACTTGTATTTAGAGTAAGCCCAGGGCAGAGCCATCTGGGAGGTACAGAAACAGTCACTTTATCTCTGTCCTCTCCCACTCTGTGGCCCCCTTTACCACTCAGTGCCATTTACCAACACTTGGAATCATGAGTAACATAGGACAATACATATGAGAGAATGAACCTTTATTACAACTTGACCTCAGCCAATTGGAAGAAAAATGTGAAGACTATCATAGAAGAGTTATTTCCTTTAAGTCCTCAGGACAGACTAAATAGGTTGAATCGCACAAATTGTGTACTCCTCCTTCATGCACAGACATTTTAAGAATACTGTTCTAACTCAGTTTTTAAGTAAATTATCATGAATGAAACAATATATACGGCCCATAGCATGTCAGCATGGAAAATGCTGAAGGTCATAGATTAAATGCCATTCTTTTTTCTTATTGTATATACTTTTATATCATGTCTTTTTACATTGATTTGTATTCTAAATAAAAACAAAATGTTGGGATGCCTGGGTGGATCAGTGGTTGGACACCTGCCTTCAGCTGAGCTCGTGATCCCGGGATCTGGGATCCAGTCCCGCACCAGGCTCCCTGCATGGAGCCTGCTTCTCCCTCTGCTTATCTCTCTCTCTCTCTCTCTCTCTCTCACTCTCTCTCTCTCTCTCTCTCCCTGTGTCTCTTATGAATAAATAAATAAATCTTTAAAAAAATGTTGAGTGAATTAAATGTTTTTGTGTTCTAAATCTGAGAATAAATCTGATAGTAATATCATAATAATTGACAGTTATTAATAGTATAAAATAATTATATATAGTATATATTATTAATATAAAATTATTATTATTATAACAAATTCACCAAGAATTAATGTATTCCATTTTTGAAACTGTTTTTCAAATGTTATATATCCCCTAGTTTATTATGCTATATAGAAGAATTTTGATGTGTTTTCTTGAGGTAATTATATGATTCTGATTTCGAGGGATGTTGAAATTGCTTGCGATTGTATCTTGATAGTCCTTTACAGGAAAGAAATGGCTTGCCACATTACATTGAAATAACTAGTGTATTTATCCCCTAATTTTATGGTGTTTTGGCTTGAGTCCATAAATAAAAATATCAAATTTATTTGAAATAATTTTTTTACAATATAGTTTAATAATGAAAAAATTGGGGACCCCTGGGTGGCTCAGCGGTTGGGCGTCTGCCTTTGGCTCAGGGCGTGATCCACATTCATGAATCGAGTCCCGCGTCAGGCTCCCTGCATGGAGCCTGTTTCTCCCTCTGCCTATGTCTCTGCTTCTCTCTGTGTCTCTCATGAATAAATAAAATATTTTAAAAATAATAATAATGAAAAAATTTCAATTTTGCTGATTTTGAAAAAAACAAAGTAAGATCTGTTTTATAGCTGATAGCTATTGATAAGTTTATATTTCAGCACAAAACCGTTCATGTTTATATTATTTGACTACAGCAAGAACAGATAAAATTTTGTAACTGCTTTTTCAATAAATTATAATCATGAAAGCACATAATTTTTATTACAGTCTGCACTGACAACAAAAATAATTGAGTTAGCTGAGGTCTCGTGTGTTGTCTCAACCCAAAAATGTCAACTCTGCTTGTTTCTAAAGTTGGTAAGACTGACTTCTGGGCCCAAAGATCAAGTCTCTTCCCATTTACAAGTCTTTAAAATTGAAATTCTTTACCCTGTGGATTCATAAACTCAAATCACACTAACTTGCAACTTATGCTGTTAAATTTCTTTTTCTTTTACAAGTTAAACCCTAATGGCATAGTCTAAAAGGCTTATTTTGGGTTTGGCTTAAATTCTAGAAGCAGTGAATGCCCAGAATGGAAGAAAGGGAATTTGAAGTCTCTATTTTAAAATACTGTTATTTTAAAACTCACTGTTATTTTAAAAGACTTATAAATGCTTAAGAATAAACTGATTTCTACCAAAGCATATTTCCATAAGATCCTATGAATCAGGTAAATCTGAAATAATAGCTCCATTGTATAGCAGAAGACACTCAGAAAGAAATGTGTCTTTAAAATTTTTAATTCATTCATTCATTTGTTTTCTACCTTTATATCTTCTTAATCTTTAGAGTTGTGTTTCTTCCCTACTGCTTTTCAAGGTATGTCCTCTTCATCTTTACATCTTCATATAATAGATACTTTCTATAGTAGCTGCTTAATTAATGTAGATATTCTAAGTATACCTATATATTTGTATACAATAAATACGCATAACTACAATAAATACAATCTACATTATACATATGGTAATCCACATGTTAAATATGTTAAACATTTAGGTGTTTAAAAGTGAAAAGCTTTAATTACAAGAAAGAGCCTTGTGTCGTGAAATAGTACTCTAAACAGGGAATCAGAAGTCTCAGTTTTTCTACCACTGATAGCTGATTCATCTTTGGAAAATCATTTTGATAAATCTGGACATCCTAAGTGATATCGTATTGGTTGAAAAAAATGAATTTATAGATTCAAATCAAAATTTATAAGGCTCTTAATAGAAAGGCTTTGTCAGCACCACAATAAAGGGCACTTGTCCCTAGGTTAGTACCTATATCACCCTGTAGGAATTCAGCAGAACTTAAGTCAGAGTGTATATTTATTTCCCTGCTCAAAGCCCAGCTTCCATGGTTTACCAAAGTTTCTGTGTTTTGACCACAACTGCACCCCACAAACTTGTGGTACCTAAGTAGCCACT